TACACTTTAAGATTTCCCTTTGTTCCTCTGACTTGCAAATCAAAAGCCTACATAGGAAGTATCCAGTCCTTCAGAATTTGTGCAGTTTTGTCTGCTTTGATAACAAACAACTTTCTTCTAAAAAACAGAGCTCTGTAAGTAACTAGTAATTGGCATCCTTTGCAAACAAAAAGGCTTAAACCAGAGCTTAAGGGAGGCTATCTTAGTAGTAAAATGAATCATCTTGAAATAATCTAGTCCTCCACGTGTAACAAAACATGCTGTACTGGTCAAGAAATGCCCTTATGATGTTTAGTTTACAGGTATTGGCTAGAAAATAGGAGGAGCGGGTTCCTTCTGTCACCTGTGCAATTGAACGTTGTACCAAAGATTGATCTGCAAGTGGGCAGAGGGTCAGATTGCCACATATATGATTAATTTGTCCAAATTCAGTGTAACTATTAACTTGAGGGCATCAAATATAGAGATAAACCACGCCTAAAGTCTTGCAGAAAGCAGAACCCAGCAGCACTGATGGCACTGGACCTAATGACTTTAAGTGTTTCCCATGGGAAACTAAGTGACCTGATTTGGTATTCTTAGTGCAGAGATGCAGAGGTTGGCCTGACGTACAATAAATCTACATACTGTACTTGAATAACATTTTATTTTAAGAATAATTTTGTATTGGCTGACCTGTAGCATGCAGTATATTTTTACATTCTTTTTTATTATTTTATAGAGAGGTTTCAAAAGCTTAATATTTAAGGATAGTCAAAACAGTTGTATCTTCTTTATGAGGCTCTTGGGACCTTATCCCACTGCCAGTTAAGTTACAAGAACTTTGTTTCTGACTGCAGTGGATACGATCACAAGTTTTGTGGGAGCAGGGGGAGGTAGGCTCTGAACTGGGAAGCTCTGCTGATCTTCTCTGGAGCTAAGCAATAGACTCAGGAAGTTAATGTGCTTTGGTTAAAGTACTGGGGGTGGTGAGTTTTCCCTTTGTGAGGGGAGAGTGAGTGAGAGAGAGTGTGCATGTGTGTGTGTATGTGTCTGGGGGAAGACTTGCAACCCCGCTCTGGTATCTCAATTAAGAGGGATGAGACTAAATTTTTACCTAGTAGCCAGGGGGAAACATGTGATCCTTCATTTTGGATTAATTTCTTTGATAAAGGTATTGGCATAAAATCGGATATTCCTTTGTTTAAAGGAGGGAGTTTTAATGAGTGTTACCTTAGTTCTGCAGGGCTCTTATCTTTTAGATAAAAATAATCTATTTTACTCAGCATTTTTCAGCAATGCATATTTAATAAAGTTCTGAGGCCTAAGAAAGGATTTTCATTAGGGGGAAGAAAAGAAACATTTATTTTAAAGAGGCAAGTTACTTACTCTTCAAAGCTGAGTCACTGAATTTATGGCACAAGAACTTGTCTCAAAGACATGTATGTCTTAATTTTCTTTTTTATGCTGTACAACAAATAATTTTGAGTGGCAAGACAACTGTTATAAAGCCATGGAGCGTTTATGAATGCACACAACAAGGATATTCTATCACGCTATTGCTATGTGAAAAGAATATCTGGTAGCTACTGGAATAAAAACAAATTTCTCACATTATTTTCTTTGATACCAGTTTTGCTTCATCATCAGGTGCTTAACACTAACAGCAGCATGGTTGAGTCCTACAAAAAGAGACTGTGGGTCATTCTTCATGCTGATCGTTTCATGATTCTCAGTACATCATGGTGTCAGTGCTGTAATTCCTCCCTGTAGCTGTCAGAGGGCTTTCCTCTGCCTTTTGATTCCTGCTTGAAAAACACTCTGTAAGTGTTAATATTATTTCTTTTCCTTTGCTGTGGAACACTTGTTCAAGCAATATCCCTGCTTTCAGCACCACATCAGTTCCCAGTATGGATCTGCCACCTGATGCAATAATCCTTTGTCTGGGATATCAAAATGGGTAGCTGTGGAATATATGGAAATGCCAGAGTGAAAAAATTATAATTTTGTCTAGGAAACTAGTAGAAGAGCTGACAACACTTTTAACATGAAGGAAACTCCTCTACATATAAGCAGTTTTTGTTTGACATGGATTTGGGGTGTTGCCAAAATAACGTTTACTGACTTGTCAAATGTTTTGTGGTTGGATTCTCAGAAATCCACAGCTGCTCTGCTAACGCCATTCTGCACAGTCATGGTATAACTGAGTGAAACAGGGAGCAAAAAAAATTAGTAAAGATGCAGATGTGAGGGTGTGGTTTGGGTTAATGGTGTGAAAAATACAGGGTATGGAAGAAGCCTCTCCTTCTAGTATAGTGAAGGTTAGGATCTAGTCTGGACTCAGTAGCAGAAAAGGTACTGTAGTTTGCAGTCCTGCACTGCTGAGCAAATGGGTTGTGATTATAGCAGCCCAGGGCACCAATGGAGAGTTTTGTAAATCATCAGTACCTTTTGGATTCTACAGCTTGCCTATCACTGAAAATGATTTCATAGCTTTGTGTGCTTTTTGTAAGGGCTCTTAATAGCATTTAATTTAATTTTGTGACTTCAAGACACAAAGCAAAAGATTTCTGGTACGAAGGTACGAAGAATGCAGCACACAGCAAGCTCCTTAAGAAGTCTTTCTTCACTGCTCTGTGCTCTCTTCCAATTAAGAATGGCTGCATTATGCATGTCAGGAAAAGGTCTTTCCCCCACTTGTTTTAATGAGCAATGCATTAGTCATGACTACAATAATTAATTAACTTTGCACTGATACACAGAGATGAAAAGTACAAGGTTCTGGAGTGTGCTGAATAAATAAAAAAAAAAGAGATCAGGAACAAGAAACAAAACTAGCCCTATTCCTAGTCAGCAAAACGAAGAGAAAGTACCAACTATTTAAATGCATTTGGATACTACATTGGATACTATGTATACCGTTTTCCCCCCTTTCTTAGACTAAAGGCTGTCAGTTAAGAGTTGGGCCCCTGAAAGGATTTCTAGACAGAGGACAGGAGAGCCAGCAGTCTATTCTGCAATGCCAAGATGCTGATTTTTTCACTCTTCTAACTGACACAATGGCAACTCTTTCTGAACCTCAGCTCTGTGGGGCACCAAGGGCTCACAGTGCTGAAGTGAGTGTATTGGGGGATACAGTCTGTGTTGGGTCAGAGCCCACAGCAGCGGGTTTAGTCTTTCAGCCCACCCAGCACCTCTGCCAGTACACAGTGTGCTGTGGTGGAGGCTCCCAGCCTGTCACCTCACTGGTGCCTTGGACACAATTTACACGAGAGATAAAATCGTATGGTGACAAGCAATAGATTCTGCACTCAGTTGTCTTAAGCAACAACTCATTACACCTCCCAGGAAAGACCAGGACTTTTGAAATAACTTCTCAAAGGGAAAACTGATAGTCTTTCAAGAAACTTAATTGTTTCTCACATTGCTTTTGCTCTGTGACCACAATGTTTTTAATGGACTGGTCTGCATCTGTGTTCGTTGAACAGCATCAGTGGCTATACTGGCTTCTGCTAGCTAAGGATGTGCTCTACTGCATTCACATTTGCTTTTTTTCTCAAAAGTTCTTTCCATATTTCAAAATCAAGAAGGGAATCTGCTTTACCACATGATCATGAGCTACATATCTGGTACTGCTACTGGTACCATAAAGGGAAAATGTATTTCTGTCCACAGGTATGTATTTTTGCAATAGTTGATACTTGCTCCATGTTATAAACTTTCTTTAAGAGCCAGCACAAGGACTTAAACGTCAGTACTCAAAGAGAACTTTGCTCACCATTTTCCTTCTGTTTGAATTTTTCACATCCTTAACATCAGCTTTATGCAGATCTTGAATCGTAAAGATTTCTAAGTTTATGATACAATAAGCTAGAGATTATAAAGTTGCCCTGCAATAGTTTCAGTAGTTGTCTTGCAGTAAAGATTCCAGTCTAAATGACATTGCACTTTCACTGAAATTATAATTTTCTAACACTTCACCAGGATCAGGCTGCTGAACTCAGTTTAGTTTTCTACAACAGTATCTAAAAATATTCACTTACCACTCAATTAGAAATGTTTTGGTAGGGTAACTAAGTAAACACAAATTCAGAACATTAATAAAGGCTTTTTCTCCCTTTCCTTTCCCCACCTCTTTCCATATTTAGGCTGCCAGATTGTGTCTTAGAGAAATGAATTTTGGACAGATATTTTGAGAGTTTAGTAATTCAATGTCTTGAGATATTCCACTTCAGAGGTAGTGCTAGTATTAAAGACAATACAAGCAAATTTCACAAGGACTTTGGAACACAGAGCAATGTGTTAAGTCTACATCAAATGCTTTAATAATATTTTAAAGCTGAAAGTGAACACAGTGGCTGCCAGAAGCTCCTATGGCAATCTCCCGAAATGCCTGAAATAAGACCTACTGAAACCAACGACAACTTTTCTGTGGGGCTCAGTGTACTTTGAATATTTGCTTTTGGGATTTGATCAGTGACATTTGAACTGAGAACTAGAAATTTGTCAGCTTCTGAAAGCTTTTGCTTTGCACCTCATTGTTAGATCAGTTTTGTTTCCATTTAAGACACTTAATAATGCCAGAAGTTCTACTGTATTGTAGTCCGAATATCTAACAGTAAACTAAAAGTACATTTCAGTGCTGAAACTCTCTTTGTGTTCTTGTGTAGAATTTTTGTTACAGCATCCTATAAAAATCTTTCTGAAACCCAATTAAATTCAAGCAAAGACCTTATTTAATATATAAACTCTGAAGATATTGTCCCCTGATTTGACATCTGCCCCACCAGATGAGCAGACTTTCTGCATTCTGCACACTTTACAAAGTTTTAGCATTACTCTTTGAAAAAAACAACATCAGAAGTAAATTACTTTCACTCCCCTTCCTTTCATCTGTTCGCTGCAGTTCTCAAAATGATAGCTACTTATCATTCATCTGATTTTTTTCTACGATCTTTTTGTAGTAAACAATTAACCCTCTTCCTCTCCCTCCCCTCACAATTCCTTGATTGCCAACTTACCTAGTGGCAGAACAATGAAGAAGGGTAGCCAGCACAAGATAAACATGCCAACCACAATTCCCAATGTCTTGGCTGCCTTCTTTTCTCTAGAGAATTTAAAAAAACATTCCTGGGATTGTGACCCTTGGATTTGGTGCTGTTTAGTGTGTCCTCATGAATGTTCCTGTAATGAATCCGTAAAGTCAGCTCCTTGGAGTTGGACATTTCTTTCATAACGCCAGCTTCCAGGTTTTTAGTAGTCCTTTTTGCCACTATGTAGACCCGACAGTACATCACAAGGATGACGATTAAAGGAATGTAAAACGACCCCAAGGAAGAAAACAAAGCATAGAATGGTTCTTCAGTGATGCGGCACTCTTTGTCGTCCTTGGGTGCTGGTTCTTTCCAGCCCAAAAGAGGCCCAATAGAAATCACCATGGAAAGGACCCAGACACTTAGAAGAGCTAAAATTGCTCTTTTCCTTGTTACCAAAGTTGGATACTGGAGAGAATAACGTACCCCTATATATCTATCTATAGAAATTGCACATAGACTTAAAATAGAAGCTGTACAGCATAGCACATCAACTGCTGCCCAGATATCACAAAATATCCTCCCCAAAACCCAGTAGCCAAGGATTTCCAGTGTAGCAGAGAATGGAAGGACAGTGAAACTCAGCAACAAATCTGCTATTGCGAGGTTAATTATGAAATAGTTTGTAGGGATTCTTAAATGTCTATTGCAAGCAACAGAGAGAATTACCAAGATATTACCTATAATAGCAAAGAGTATAAAGGCACCTAGGATAAGCCCCACAATTATCGCCCTGCTGATATCCAAGGCAGGTGAATCCAGATTGCTTGCTGTCTCATTTGAGCTGTTTGCAGAAATATTGCCATTATTTAGTGCAGACACTTTCAAATATCCAGGTAGTGATGCATTGGATTTATTGCCAAGGTAGGTATTCATCTTGAAAAACATCCTCCATAGCAAGTTATGGTTCGATCCCTTGCACGACACACAGATGGTTTGAGTTCAGTTGAAAGTTATCTCTCTACCCAAGAAGTTGCTGCAAAGCCCCAGCCAGCTTTAGATAGAGAGCTCATCTCCACAGCGAGCTGTCAGCTGTAAGCACGTAAAACTTGCACAGCGTGAAGTCCTCTGAAGCCTGTCAGAAATAATAGGCTGTTCAAACTTGCTTAATTTCTCATACGAAGTCGTTTAAACAGAAATTAGCAGGCAGAAGTCTTGGCTGGAGCTTGAAAGCAGCTGTTACGATCATGACGCCCCTGAAATAAAAGACAGGTTTACTCTTTTCCCTTGTGCATTTGTGGTTCTGCTGGAAGGATGCCCCTGTCTAGCTGCGGTGACATGCATATCCAAGAAGGGTTTGTCAGCATTTAGGCAGCTCTGCACGAGCTGGCTGCCTGTGCTGGCGCTGCCTGCTCTGGTGACATCAGCGCCCGGCCCCGTCACACGCTAGAGGGCAATGCCGCTCAAGTTAAAATT